TAAAACAAAATCAGATAGCAACAAAGATCAATTATCACCAAATAATCCAGTTTCCTTTTAGAGTCTCAAGAAAGCTTTGGAACAGAAGGAGAGCTAAAACAATAAAGTGGGACTCCCTTTGCTTTTTTGTTCAAGATAATATTGTTACATAAGTAAACACTGAATGAAAACTACAGCCATGACAGCAACTAGTGAGGCTACACTCAAGAGACGTGGTGCTGTGAGCTGAATGCTAACATGTTGGGGCACCCCTGTTAAATGTTAACACTCAAGTGAATGGGCGTTATTGGTGATTAACAGCCTCACAGCAATGGCTTAGAAGGGGTCTGCTACACCTACTAGTAGATTTAAGCGAAGTGGTAACCTCAGGGGACTAAAAATTGATGCCAACACTAGAGTGATGGCTATTTGGGGTTGGCCCCAAGAGTGAGTCAATCCACATAGACCCTCATGTTAATATTAAACATGTTTACAGCCTGGTACAAAAAATGGTTTTGGTCTCTATGGCTTATTTCAGCGTTCATGACAACTGTACTGAGGGGTGACTTTATATAACTCACCTGTTTACATTTTATCAAGGATTAAAGTTACGCATAATTAAAGGTGGGGCTGCTTTGAGTGACAGGCTGTCTGCGAGGTGTCAACACACTCTAAGAGTCAGATCCATCATTCAATCCTCCACAGCTCCACCCTGTCATCCAAATATCACTTGTCACTTCTGACTCAAAAAAAAACAAGATGACAACGGATGAAATGCTGAACTCAAGGCTTCAAAATTAAAGACGTTCATGGGCAGTGATTAGCGTTGAGAGTTCTTGGTTTGAACCCAGGATGAGAGAGCCCTTCTTTGCAGAGTTTGCATGTTCTCTCCTTGTCAGCGTGGGTTTTCTCCAGGTGCTCCAGCTTCCTCCCACAGTCCAAAGACATGCAGGTTAACTTGTGACTCTAAATTGTCCGTAGGTGTGAATGTGAGTGTGAATGGTTGTCTGTCTCTATGTGTCAGTCCTGTGATAGTCTGGTGACCTGTACAGGTTGTACCCCGCCTCTCGCCCAATGTCACCTGGGATAGGCTTCAGCCCCCCTCCGCGCATCCCAGGGGAGGTTGGGGACATGGAAATTAAGTGGTGCATATTCAAAGTCTCCATTGTGGAGGCGGCTGCTAAAAACTGTGGTCAGGCGGTCATTGGTGCCAGTCGTGGTGGCACTGCTGGTATCTCCGGGTCTTGTTCATAAGTGATGGTAGAATTGAGCATGAAATGGATAGGCCGTTTTGCCCAGCGTTCTGTAGTGATGCGGGCACTGTGCTGGGCCATCATGGTGAAGAGAGAGCTGAGCCAGAAGGCAAAGCTTTCGATCTATGTCCATATGTCCCAACTCTCACCTATGGTCATGAGCTCTGGGTAGTGACCAAAAGAATGAGATCATGGATACAAGCGGCCAAAATGAGTTTCCTCAGAAGGGTGGCTGGGCTCAGCCTTAGAGGGTGAGGACCTCGGACATCCGGAGGGAGCTCGGAGTAGAGCTGCTGCTCCTTCATGTCGAAAGGGGTCAGTTGAGGTGATTCGGGCATCTGATCAGGATCCATCTGGGCGCCTCCTGTTAGAGATGCTCCGGGCACGTCCCACTGGTAGGAGACCCAGAACATGCTGGAGGGATTACATGTCTCGTTTGGACTGGGAACACCTTGGTGGAGCTGGAAAGTGCTGCTGGGGAGAGGGACGTCCGACCCAGCTTCGGATAAGCACTTGAAAATGGAAGGATGGATGTTGGAAATGAGCAGAAAATGGAGATTCCTTGTGAAAATGGAAGTATATGTTGAAAAGAGGCGGTGCAGGGTAAAACACCTGCATCGCCAAACACCATCGTTGAACGTCCAAAGAGACACAGGAGGATTCCTAGCACGTCATATTTTGACATGTAGGTCCAGTGACAAAGCAGAGAATGCGTTTAGGTCAGGGTGGCTTCGTCCATTATTTCATACAGTTTATAATTTAAATGTAAAAGTCAATTGAATTATAAAAAACTACTTCCTTGTATGGATGGATACTGCAGCCATTGACTTCTTGAATCTGACATGGCCTTTAACATTAATGAGAAGTCCTTTAATGTGAAGACTAACTTGCTGTCTTGGCGCGTTCTGCTGTGGAGTGTCCAGGTTTGACCTTCTGTGTAAAAAGAATAACCATAATGTTACCAAGCAGCCCGTCTCTGCACTAACCTGAACAACAGACCTCCATGTTTGTTTACCATCAGTGGGACGGAGGGTTTTAAGATGCAGCTGCTCAGTGACTGTCAGATGGGTTTAAGTTGTGTTTGCATGAAACTTGGGGACATTAATACCTTCATCCCTCCGCACTAATATGAAATATAAATAGAAGCACCGCAGGGGAAGAAATATATTCAAGTGTGTTATTTCCCCTCCACTTCTTTAAAGAATAAATAGGAAAAGGAAATTGGAAAACTCTTCGCCTCTTGTCTCTTACACAGATTCATTCTGGCAATTTGTCTCAGAGATATTGCGCTTGTTTTCAGGCTGGAGGGACTCTTATCAAAACAAATCACTTCATCCATAAGCAATCTGCTGGTTTCTGCTGCGGATCAATGTCACGATGAACAAGGAGACACAGGAACTTTCATTCTTAATCTCACAATAGTATTTATCAGAGACCACACAGTGAAAATACTAGGTCCTGCATTGAAAATGGTTCTTTCAGAAGCTTATATGTTCAGATTGGGTAATTCTGACTCATGCATTGATGTAAAAGCAGGATTTTACTGTTGTTGCTGGTGGAGTTTATTTAGATGATTAACTAATGATTATTTAACTTGCAGGGCTGCTGGAGGGTCGTGGGAGTTTGTCCATCCACTCTACATGTGTTACGTGGACCTGGAGAGGGCTTATGACCACATCCGAAGGGGAGTCTTGTGGGGGGTACTGATATAACACAGGGTACTGGGGTCACTGCTATGAGATATCCAGTTCTTGTATAACCAAAGTGAGACATTCTCGGTGAACCTGGTCTCGCTGTGAAGTCGTCGAAATCCAGTGCTTGGGCAGTGGCTTGCGGCATCAGAAACCAACAAAAAAAAAGCCGTCTTAATGTCAGCATGATACATGGCCAGTTGCCATTATAGTTTAATGGCACTCAGCAGCGACAGGGGAAAACACAGTGGGACATGGACGAAAGTCAAGGCAGTAAAAGTCCAACTGTGGCAGGTGAGAGGGGCGGTGGATGGGTCCAACAGACACAGACTTTCATCTGAGAGAACAAAGTTCACGTCCCGTAAGATTCTAAAGCCAAACCCTTGTTCTTTTTTTTCTAAACCCAACCATGAGTTTTTGTTGGTGAAGGAGAAAACACGTCAATTTGCTGTGTTGTACCGACGTAGTGCGTTTATCTTGAAAGAGACTGAATGTAAACGTCAAATTTCCTGTGAAAACGGAAGTGTATTTTGAAAGAAGACAATGCACGTAACAGGCAGAACTTGACACGGCGTCCCAGAATATCAACAACCAATGCACCCAGGGTACCTTGCATCTCTGCTTTTCGCAGATGATGTGGTTCTGTTGGGTTCATCACACCGTGACCTCCAGCATGCACTGGGGTGGTGTGCAGCTGAGTGTGAATCATTCTGGTTCTCCACCAGAAAACAATTGCTCCCTCCGGGTTGGGAATGAGTTACTGCCTCAGGCAAGGGAGTTCAAGTATCTCTGGGTCTTGTTCACGAGTGAGGTTAGAATGGAGCGTGAGATGGCCTCGCGGTTTGGTGCGGCTTCTGCAGTGATGCTGGTGCTTTGCTGGACCGCCATGGTGAAGAGAGAGCTGAGCTGGAAGGCAAAGCTTTTGATTTACCGGTCCTTTTGCGTCCCAGCCCTCACCTGTGGTCATGAGCTCTGGGTAGTGACCGAAAGAACGAGGTTGCGGATACAAGCGGCCGAAACGAGTTTCCTCCGTGGGGTGTCTGGGCTCAGCCTTAGAGATAGGGTGAGGAGCTTGGACATCTGGAGGGAGCTTGGAGTAGAGCTGCTGCTCCTTTTTGTCAAAAGGTGGTTGAGGTGGTTCGGGCATCTGATCAGGATCCTCCTGGGTGCCTCCTGTTAGAGGTGTTTTGGCACGTCCCACTGGTAGGAGGCCCCTGGGCAGACCCAGAACATGCTGGAGGGATTACATATCTCATCTGGTCTGGGAACACCTCGGGGACCCACAGAAGGAGCTGGAAAGTGTTGCTGAGGAGAGGGACGGCTCTGCTCAGCCTGCTGCTCTGGCGACCCGGCCCTGGATAAGCGATTGAAAATGGATGGATAGATGATTATTTTCATTATGGATTAATCTGCTGATTATTTTCATTATGGATTAATCTGCTGATTATTTTCTCCATTAATGAATTGTACAGTTTGTAAAAACAGCATCACGATGACCCAGAGCCCAAATTGCGTGAAAATTATGCAATTACTATATTATAACAATTATTTCTAAAAAGTGAATTCAAGTCCTAATATTGTTTTGAATACAATTAAATATCTGATTAAATTATAGACGTCAGATAACACAGAAATTTTTTGATGAGCTGATTGACCTTAAATAAATTGTAAACTCATCTAATAATCTTCTTATGTCATATTCTATTGTAACTCAAATGGATAACTCTCAACTCAAAGTTGACAAAACTTTTAATCACTTGTTTACTGACGTATTTAGTTAAGAATAATTATTGGACATGAAAATATCATCACAGACTAAATAACTTATTATTTATCTTTTATTTTATTATTATCTTTCATCTTTTATTTCTTTCATGTTTTGGTTTTTAATAACTTTTTTGTTTGTAAAGCACGGATAATAATAACACATTTATTTATTTATTTATTTATTTTATTTATTTTATTTATTTTATCAATTAATCATCCGGTCATTATGAGCCAGTTACGTCAAAACCGTGACGTCGTCCGGAGGCTGAGGAGGGCGGGGCGCATCCAAACATCCCGCGCGCGGCGGAGCAGCACGCGACAAACAGCTGAAGGAGCAGAGAGTGAACGCAGCTCGCGGACTCGCGGCACTTTGTTCTCCGTTTTCTGGCACCATGTGGGCGCGAGCTGTGCTGTGCGCGGCGCTGCTGTCCGCGCTCTGCCCGGCGGGGAGGACGGAAGCCGAGAGGGACGAGAGAGACGTCCAAGACTACCACTACACCAACTCCAACAGACTGGTAAGTGACCCTTCCTCAGAGTACTGAATACTACTGAGAATACTTTGAACAAATACTTTAAATACTGTAAAACACTGCAGCCTGTTTAAATATTACAAATATTTATTTTTCATCTGTCTTTATTTGTTTTCTGTTTTAGTTTCAAATCCATGAGCTTTATCATTTACTCAGTTATATTAAATATTTATATGAAATATTATTTCTTTCAATGTCTAAACCATAAAAAAATCATAGATAATAACAATACCAGTATGTATCAATAAAATGGTAAATAAGTATCCAGAAGATTTCTGTTTTTTTATCCCTACACTTTATAGGACTGGTGTTTCTATTTTTGTTAATATAGATTTAATATATTATGTAAATGATCACGGTAGCCTACAGTGTGTCAGCCTTTCAGTAACAGTAACTGAAGTGATTTAGAACCAAATGAAGATTGTCGACTATTTATTTTTGAAACATTTAAAGCTGCAATGATTAGTCCATCGATTGATTGTTGATATAATTGATTAATCATTAGTCATTTTTCATTAAAAAACACCTACATGTCTGTTGTCTGTTTCTCCAGTGTGAGAAGTTTTATTATATATATTTCTAATATAATTATTGTCCATTATTGTAAACTGCACTACAAATTATTTTCAGGAAATTACAACATGTAACTGTAATATTTCACAATAAATTACATTATTATCACCTCACAGGCTTTTACTGTGATATTTAACTAAATTCAGAATTTTTCTTGGGAAATTCATGCAGGTAAATATAGTAATTTTACAGGAGCACACTGCTAAATAACAGTTATATATGAAGTTTAACTGTGAGATTACAGTGAAATATAATAATTATACGGGAGCATATTGTTAAATCACAGTAATCAAATGTCCATAAACTGTGATGTTACAGTTAAATTCAGCAATTTACAGCAATGTACTGTTGAATCAGTGATGTAAAGGGTTTCAACTGTGAGGTTACAGTTACATACGGTAATTTCACAGAAGCATACTGCTAAATCACAGTAATATGCAGGCGTAACTACAGTGAGCTCACAGCTGCTACAACAATTTACTGTGAAAATGAACAGTGCTTTCCTGTGATGCAGCTAGCAGTCCGTAATTTACTGTTAATGTATATTTTATAGTGTGATATTTTGGGCTGTTGATCAGACAAAACAAGACATTTAAAGATGTCACCTCAGACTCTAAGATGGGCATTTTCAGTATTTCCTGAAATTTATGGACTACATCATTGACCTGTTTATTATTGAGTCATGCAGTGCAGTAAAAAGTACAATGTTTCCCTCTGATATGTTTTGGAGTAAAAGTATTAATTATTAGAAAATGCATACACTCAAGTAAAGTACAAGTACCTCAAAACTGTGCTTATGTAAGCCCCACAGTACTTGAGTAAAAGTACTTAGTTACTTTCCACCTGCAGGTGTTTGTAGCCGATTTGATGTAGATGTTAAGCAGTTATTTTTAACTGTTGTGAAGATGGAGGGGTTTGTAGGATTCGAATGAATTCATTATTTTGTGTGTGTGTGTATGTTCAGCTCGGCGCTCTACACGAAGTGTTGGAGAAACTGCAGACTAAGAGGATTAATCCCTGGGAGAAGAAGTATGGACAGGTCCCCTCTGTGAGTCTCACACACAGCGGATAGACACACTGTTACACATATGAAATAGCATTAATAATAATCTATCATCAGTCTGACAGGGAGTATGGATTCAAAATCAGTGTTGGGTCCTGATTTGTACACTTCTTATTTTCTTATCTTAAAATATAAATGCTGTTAGCTCCACCTTTACCAACCGCAACAGTAAAGTGATTCACACATTAATACATCAATAATTATAATACAATAATATATATTATTATTCATAATGAGTACTTTTACTTTTGGTACTTTATGTATATTTTGATTTTCGGACTTTTGTACTTTTACCGAGCTAATATTTTGAATGTGATCACAGCACTTCTTGCAGCACTTTATGTTACTCAAAGTGAGAACACACTGGAAGCTGCTCTAATTCATAAATTGACTGGCACCTCTGTGTTTAATTGTCACGTATCACATATTTTATATGTAATCTGTAAATCAAACTCTTTGATATGTTTTAAAAACACTCACTGGTCACTTTTCATACCACATTGTTCATACTTAAGCATATTTATTTATCTATACATTACTGTTTATATTATATATTACTGTTTATTCTATAAATCACTCTACATACTACACTTAACTTTTTGCTCATCTTGCTACACTGCATTTCATTGTCTCAGTATTTGTACTCAGCAAGGACAAAACTGAATCTAATCTGACACCAATGTTGTTGGTCTGTAGTAATGTCTGTGTAACACAAGGTGGCGCTTCATACTTTGATCATAACAATAAAACTACTGAAATTTTAACACGAATGAGGAATAATCTTATTTATAAAATAGCATCAAATATTTATGTAGATATTAAACTGTTTATTAATGCAGTACTGTACTTACATACACAGCATTGTATATTGATAAGACTTTTAATTTTTGTACTCATATTCACCACAGTCTTGGCAAGTCATGGTGCACAGAGTATCTGTTACCTCATATCAAATCAGGGCTCATCAAAATATCAATATTGTATGGATATCATGATATGCAGCGTCTCTTCTTTAAGTGTATACCTGAGGTTGTGTGTTTCTGTGTGTTCTCAGTGTGACCTCGGGGAACACTGCGCAGTCAGGAAAGGATCTCGTATCGGGAAGATGTGCGACTGTCCTCGAGGAGCTTTCTGCAACTTCTTCCTGCTGAAGTGCTTATGAGCCAATCAGACCCCCAAGAGCAGCGAGAGTATATTTTAAAATGTATATATTTACAAATATATATATATAAAGTCTGACGTTATGTAAAGTAGCCTTTAGAGTGGAATAAATCCTTCATCATCATGTGTGTGAACATGATCTGTTTGTCCAGTTGTGTTGTGGCATTAAAGGTGTTCTCTCTTTCCAAAGACTCCTCTTCGTTTTACTGCCTTTTAAAGTCTTTTTTTTTTTTCATATAAACAAGGTGTCAGTCAGGGTCAGGTTTGATTTCGAAAAACATCATTTGCAACAAATCACATCTGACCTGTTTCAGGTTAAATTCTTAGAACTTCGTAGGAAACTGGATAAATCTTAAAAACTGTCAGAGACAAAGTTCATCTCCTGGGAGCTGTGGTGCTGTAACATCAGTTTTTAATTGTCGCCCTTTAGATTTCAGATTTTAAATCAGGAACATAATCTGAAATAATTAGTCAATTTATTACAGAAAAATAGAGACAAACAGGAGGAAAAGTCTCATTAATCTGTATAGGTCTGTTCCTGCGGTGCCCTCTTTAGGACATATACTAATGAGACCAAGAATTAATTTTGTTCCCTCCCTGAGGCCTGACAGATGAGCTGAAGCAGAGCTGGTAAAAAGGGAGATTAATAAGCCTGTGTGATAGATGAAGTCTTACAGGGCTGAAATGCTGCTCATACAGGATTCATAACTGTGGAGTTTGTTCGGATCAGTGAAATGTGTCAACATTAATGAGCAAATTAGCTCTAAAAAGCCTTAATGTAGAGAAGCGTCTGCAAAATTATTCTGATTACAAGTCATTTTTGAGGAAAATTAGACATCACCTCTCATTTCTGTTGATTACTAACAGAGCACCCAAGGCTTATTTAGATTAAATAGGCTGTACTGCCATCCCTATTAGGCACAAATACACTGCCTGGCCAAAAAAATAGTCGCCACCTGGATTTAACTAAGCAAATAGGTACGAGCCTCCTATTGGATAATTACTGCATGGGCGATTATCTTTCAGCTGGCAACAAGTTATTTAACCCCAACTGGTGCAATGAGTTGCTTCTCATTTCCTAAACAACCATGTCGAAAGACACATCCCGTGGTCGTGGAAAAGATGTTAGTCTGTTTGAGAAGGGTCAAATCATTGGCATGCATCAAGCAGAGAAAACATCTAAGGAGATTGCAGAAACTACTAAAATTGGGTTAAGAACTGTCCAACGCATTATTAAAAACTGGAAGGATAGTGGGGACCCATCGTCTTCGAGGAAGAAATGTGGCCGGAAAAAAATCCTCAATGATCGTGATCGGCGATCACTTAAATTTTTGGTGAGATCAAATCGAAGAAAAACAACAGTAGAACTCAGGGCTATGTTTAATAGTGAAAGTAAGAGCATTTCCACACGCACAATGCGAAGGGAACTCAAGGGATTGGGACTGAACAGCTGTGTAGCCTTAAGAAAACCACTAATCAGTGAGGCTAACCGGAAAAAAAGGCTTCAATTTGCTAGGGAGCATAAAGATTGGACTCTGGAGCAATGGAAGAAGGTCATGTGGTCTGATGAGTCCAGATTTACCCTGTTCCAGAGTGATGGGCGCATCAGGGTAAGAAGAGAGGCAGATGAAGTGATGCACCCATCATGCCTAGTGCCTACTGTACAAGCCTGTGGGGGCAGTGTTATGATCTGGGGTTGCTGCAGTTGGTCAGGTCTAGGTTCAGCAACAGTATGTGCTCAAAGAATGAGGTCAGCTGACTACCTGAATATACTGAATGACCAGGTTATTCCATCAATAGATTTTTTCTTCCCTGATGGCACGGGCATATTCCAAGATGACAATGCCAGGATTCATCAGGCTCAAATTGTGAAAGACTGGTTCAGGGAGCATGAGACATCATTTTCACACATGGATTGGCCACCACAGAGTTCAGACCTTAACCCCATTGAGAATCTTTGGGATGTGCTGAAGAAGGCTTTGCGCAGCGGTCAGACTCTACCATCATCAATGCAAGATCTTGGTGAAAAATTAATGCAACACTGGATGGAAATAAATCTTGTGACATTGCAGAAGCTTATCGAAACAATGCCACAGCGAATGCGTGCCGTAGTCAAAGCTAAAGGCGGTCCAACGAAATATTAGAGTGTATGACCTTTTTTTTTTGGTGGTGACTTTTTTTTTGGCCAGGCAGTGTATGTTCTGCAGCTCCAGACAGATTCTTAAAAGCTTTGACAGCAAAGGTTGCTGACACCTGTTCTATCCTGATCCATCATTAAATTTGGTAAATTACTTCACAAAATGGATATTGCCATGTCTTGAGATTTTACAACACAACGTAAGAAAAATACAATTCATAATATCCATCTTCCCATGTCTTCACAGTTTAAGACTTCTGAAAGAATGATAAGAAACTGTAATACCAATTAAGACCTTTAGATTAATTTAATACTTTTAAAGACTTTATAAGGATCCATGAAAACCCTGATTATATATTGAAAACATACACGTGAATGAGTATAAAACAAGGTACCTTAAATCTCGTATTATCTGGATATGTGATGATTGAAATGACAGATTTAAAGTCAAAACACTTCATAAAAGGTGTTTTCCTTGTGGCCTAAGTCAACAAAAAGTCAAATGAGATAGAAAACACTGTTAAACCGACTGATCGGAGTTTAAGACCTTTAACCACTTAATGAAACACAGGCCATCCGCAAAAACGTCAAAACCTTTCCATGATTTCTCAAAGGCCCAAAATAACATTTCCATTATTATTCAGTGTACAAGTACACAGACAGAACTGTTTAGCAGACTAAACCCTATTTATTATTGTATTATAATTACTGTGTGTAGTAAACAAAAATCGTGTCAATGCCTTTCAGAGCTACGTTACGTCAACAGCTACAGAAAATAAATTTGCAGTCATCTTATAGTACATGGAGGGAGGATTACTTTAACAATTAATTCCATCAAATACAAAATTCCATGTTTCCAGAACTTTTTGTTAGACTATTTCTTGGGCTGTTTTTGTCTTTATTAATAGGACCACTAAGATAGATATGAAAGGCAGGAGAAACAGAGGGATGACACGCAGCAAAGGACCCGAGCCACTGCAGAGGACTCCGCCTATATTTCAAACCTTCCCTTTGTTTCTGTAAATCTATGTTATGCATAAAGGAAAAGAGAAGTGAGCACCAGTGGAGTCCACAAATCAACAGTCCTGCACAGCAGAGTCTTTTTATCCCAGATGGGTTTTTATTATTAAGATACTTTACAGACGTTACACTCCTCGGGGCTGCTTGAAGTTCATGCCGATGGTTGGCTGGGTCACCTGCAGGTTGGACAGACCGCCGAAGTCCTAATGAACAGATAAAAAAACGTAAGTGGTCTGAGCACTCAACACCAGACTTCAATGTGAAAACAATGCTAAAGCTGTCTGAGAGCGCCAGGGTCTGATAGGAACAGAGAATCCTTCAAACACGGGAAAGGCTCGCAGGTTGATCTTCCTGTACTATCAATGACCTGACGACAAGGACGCCATGATCACTTTCGATACAGGATAAAGGAAACAAGCTAACTTAAAAAATTAATTTTCACCTTTAAAGAGAAACTTAACACCCTGTTTAAATTTGAACATGTCACTTTTACAATCTATAAAGACTCGCTCACAATTTTGATTTTTCACAACCACATTAAAACACATTAAGTTTGGTTTGATGAGCAGATTTAAAGCTTAAACACAGCAGCTACAGAGAGACTCTGAAGGGAGGCTGCTATCCTTGTTAAAAGCTCTGTTACATTTATAATATATAATAAATAGTTCAATAAGTCAAGGTGAAATCTAGACCCATTTATATGGAGGTCAGAAGTTGCCACAATCAAAAATAAACTTGATAAATAAATGAATATGCCTGTAAATGTACCAGATAAATGAAAAAAAAAAAAAAAAAAAAAAACAAACGAATCAATACAATTAAAAGTAACAAAATAAATGTGAAAATTAAAATAAATTAATTAAAAAAAATGCAAAAATTTAAAAAAATAACCTAAATATCAAATTAAATAAATACAAAGTAAATAAAAATATGCAAAAATTGAATAATTTTAAAATTTGTATAAATGAAGGGGAAAATTAAATAGGAAAGTAAATAAATAAACAGGGGAATCATTACAAAGAAAACCAAATAAAGCATATTTGAACCAAAAAAAAAAAAAAAAAAAAAAAAAAATCAATTTATGTCACATTTGGCAGCCTTCCTCCTCCACTCTGAGGCAGGACGTTCCAACCCACTGACTGCAGTCGATGCAAATGAAGACATTTTAAAGTACTGATGTGTCTTTAAATTAAGTACAGCACTTAAAAGTTAGTGGCTTAAGTGAGCTAATACTCATTACCAGAGACGCAGAAGTGCTCACATACCAATAAAAACACATACAGCTGATTAAAGTTTAAGTTTTTAAAGTTAGTTTCTCTGAAGTTCTCAAACTGTCTGTGACCCTTTGATCTTCATCTTAAAGACTATTAGTGACCGGCGCCTTAAAGCGCCTCATTATGTTGTTGCTTGATGCTGTGAAGCGTCTCAGTGACTTTCTCACAGAACTTTATCAGCAGGATATTCAACACATCATTAGACAGAAGCCCTGGCTTCACCTCATGGAGTCTGTTTCCTTTGAATCTTTGACTTTTCATTCATGTTTGTTTGATATGAGCTCGTTTAGTAGGAGTTTATTTTATAAGGCAAATCTTTTTACTGCACTTTGCTGCTGTAACGAGGAAATAAAAACTAATTACAGCAATCTTTGGTAGAGGATATCTTACTGTGGTAAAAATAGAAATACCACGATGTAAAAATACTCTTGTGAAAGTCCTGCATCCCACATAAAATCCAAACTTGACATTTAAACCTTTATTCTCATGACAGGTTTTTGAAACCATTTGCAAATTAACATAATAGTTGATAAATGTAGTGCAGTTAAAGTACAAAGTCGCAGGATATTAAAATGCTCACATGACATGCAAGTACCTCAGGATTGCACCTTAGTAAGCATACTCAGAATAACAGCAGAGACTGACTGCTGTCACTACAATCACAGAGACTTACCAGCAGCTTCAGCATCTCCTTGGTGTCGGGATCAACTTCAATCAGCTCCTGGTCCAGAGCAGACACCTGGACAGGTAAAAACACACAGGAACAACCAGTTACACATCAACAATCTGTCAAACTCTGGGTGATCTGCAGCAGCAACTCTTTCACATCGTCTCTTCAGATTTCTCGTCACTCTCTGGTAGAGCTTCAATGAAATGATGCATTCAATGACAGGTCCTGGTAACTGTAAACTGGAGGTGAGCGCTGTTTTAGCACAGGAACATTTATACTAGAGCTGCAAATGACAATTAATGTCTTCCCATCATAGTCGTGTTAATACTTTGGGTTTTAGGGCTGTTGGTCAGAAACAACAAACACATCTTAAAGACGACATCACCTGGGACATTTTTAACTATTTATGACATTTTATGGACTAAACAATAAACAGACAAAATAACAGCAGGTTATAATGAGCCTTACTGACTTACGGGATAAACAAATGTTTTTTGATTGATGTTTGTCATAGTTACACAGACATACACATAATGAACTCTGACCTTCTCAGCATCACAGGAAAAATATTGTGCCAGTCCAGAGACGAAATCTTGTGCCAACAATTACAACCTCTGACTGAACTAAATTCACGTTCGGGGGACAGTCTCTATTTTACTAGTTTGTCTGATAAAATGAACAAACAAATTCATCATATAGACCAAAAGTTACTATGAGATGGATACGTGGTGTTCAGTAAACACAGCACTCTATTTTATGTTCATTATCTGAAGTATTTTACCACAAAATATCAACAAAGCACCAAACCCATGTAGCCAACATCTAATATGGACCCAAAGAGATCAACAAATATTTTTCATAAAATTTCTGTTGCATTCAATCATGCAGGTCGTCAGTATGACCTCTGTATCTTTGTCACATGCATTACGAAGTTTGTCTGAGAGCACCAGGGTTCAAAAGGAACAGAGGATCCTTCAAACACGGGAAAGGCTCGCAGGTTGATCTTCCTGTACTATCAATGACCTGACGACAAGGACGCCATGATCACTTTCGATACAGGACAAACACTTAACAGCTGCACAAGTCAAACATGCATACAAACACACAGGATTTACAGAAAGGCTTGTCTATGTTATATAGTACTAAAAATTAAAGACGGTGTCTGATCTAAACACTAAAACAGAGAGAGCAGCTCTCAGACCAGCTAACAGACAGACAGACAGGAGACATGGTGACCAGCAGTGTTGGGAATACTTTCAACTACCTTTAGAACGCTTGATAAACGAGCCTGCAGGATTTCATCTGTTGTGTACAATGTGCTGAGCTTTGAAATAATTACAAGCATTTCTTGAGGGGAAAACTCTTCAAGCAAACAGGAAAACTGAACACACCACATATGCAAAATTAAGTGCATCAATAACTGCCACATATTTTCTCGTGCTCGACAACACCGCCACAAACCACAGCTCAAAACCTGACCAGATAACCACCAACACCTCTCTGAACATTCACTGCTGCAGTGTTGGATCCTGGTTTGAGTAACAGTACAAGTGTTGATGTGTCCACCCTCTGACCACTTGGTTAACACCAGCCCAATACCAGTTCAACCCAGTATGTTTACTGGTGAAACCCTTAAATCAGACAAAACACATTATGGCTGCATTCACTTTAAGATTTCAGTGTTTGGACTGAACTGCAGTGATGCCTTCACTGACCTCTGGTACGTAGTTATCCCTCCTCTCTCTCTCCTCCTCCTGCAGTTTGATGGAGATTCCTCTGACTGGACCCCTCTGGATCCTCTTCATCAGATGTGTCACATACCTGCAGCAACAGCAGTCGGTAAACGCAACAGTCAGTGGACGTAACAGTCAGTAAATACAACACCAGTAAAAAGAACAGTAAGTGAATTCATCAGTAAACGACAGTCAGTGGACGCAACAGTCAGTAAACACATCAACAAACGCAACAGACAGTGGAAGCAACAGTGAAAACAAGTCAGTAAACGCAAGTCAGTAAACAATAAGCAACCATCAGCAAACACAACAGTCAGCAAGCAACAGTCTGTTGACACAACACTCAGAGGTCACAACAGTCCGTCAAAGGACAGATGACGCGACAGTCAGTAGACACGACAGTCAGTGAAGTAGTACAGATGTACAAACAGGAGAACTGGTCTGATCACTCGACACCGACTTCATTGTGAAAACAGCTAATTTTAGGTGAAAGTCTGTCTGAGAGCGCCAGGGTCTGATAGGAACCAAAAATCCTTCAAACACGGGAAAGGCTCGCATGATGATCTTCCTGTACTATCAATGACCTGACGACGAGGACGCCATGATCACTTTCGATACAGGGTGGATGTTAACGACAAACAAACAGCAGCTCTGATGAACGCACCCGGCAATCTTGTTGCGCAGCTTCTTGCTCGGGATGATGGCGATCTCCTCACACACCCTCTTGTTGGTGTGAAAGTCGCTTCCCAGCCGGGTGTAGTATTTCTCGATGATGACCCTGGCGGCCTTTTTCACCGTCTTGGTCCTGACTCGTCCCTGCAGGCAGAACACAAACCAAAATCTTTATTTAATTTGAACCCTGTTCATTCATGGAATTAGCCCCGACTATCATTTTACTCAGAATCAGTACATTAGAAATTCCTCATCGAAAACAGCAGGTCTGTGAAACTACTTTTGCGTCACATATGGCGGCCAAGATGGGGAAAACTTGTACCAGTTGTTCGGCTGCAGAGCTGGTCATGCGAGGGTTACAAATGCTGGGCACTGGCAATATGGCAACATCTTAAATTTGGGTTTAATATTCATAAACATTCTTGCATTCTTATTCTACATTTTTCTACTTCCCTCAGGATTTAATAAGTTCTAGATCATTTTAAAGCTTGATGTTATTTATATATTATAAATTAATCATTAATATGAGGTTGTAAATTTCAAGAATACCCATTTTTGTGCAAATTTAAGATTTTACCAACAAATTTAAAACATTAAATGCACAATTTCATATCCCGAAGGAATCACATCTACACTGACACTCTGTGTCAGCTATAAATCTCATTAAGTCGAAGCTTAATTTAGGAATTTAGAGCCTTTCAAATTGTGCAAAAGTCTCACGTATGAATGCCAAATTTCATCTTCGGCTTCACACCTTCATACAGGTGGATGACTGTACGTTAATAAGACGTTTTATCAACTGGATGACCCTCCGAGAGGTAGCATTGCAGGCGGCGAAGCTAACTCCCGGTTTAGCCTCTGAAGCTAACACACGGAAGCACGTTATTCACTAATTATTCAACCGCTTTCATAACCCACATTTAAACACGCACAACAGTGATATTATTCCGCTGTTCCCGTTCAATTTAACCGATTAAACCTAAATAATAACCGCCGTCCATTCAGCCCCACAGCAGCTCCACTCCGCCTCCTCAGCTAGCGGCAGTTTCTGCGATACAACACCGAGAATATAAAGCTAATCCCGGATCATCTGACATCAATACTGCCGTTATCAGGTAGATAAAACTCTCCGGTATTTTTGGTTAAATGATTGGGAGATATTAACCGTTAAAACGGGAGGATTAATTCAGATTAGTCAGGTAGACATGCAAAAATTACCCACCATGTTGGATCGGCCTGGTAGAAGAGGACAAGCAGACTTCCGGTGGAAGTTTAAATGCACGGACGGAAACAAAGAAGCAACCTGCAGCTGCTGCGCCCTCTGACCGCGGGAGGTGGAACTACAACAACAATAAGTAGCCGACTACTGTAGGAAATGTCAGAAATTCACCATCGTTCCCCATCTAAAAAGTGACTTTCAAAAGTCACAAACAAACTTAACGACCTCAAATTATTCAATATTTTATTTTGTTGGCTTGTCTTAATTAATATCTAGGGATGCTTTATTGTTGGAGGTGATATGGTTATATTGAAAATACACTTTATTAGGTACACTCTGCTAGTACCAAGTTGGACCCCTTTTGCCTTCAGAACTGCCTTAATTCTTGGTGACATAGATTCAACAAGGTGCTGGAAACATTCCTCAGAGATTTAGGTCCATATTGACATGATGACATCACACAGTTGCTGCAGATTTGTCGGCTGCACATCCATGATGAGAATCTCCCGTTCCACCACATCCCAAAGGTGCTCTATTGGACTGAGATCTGGTGACTGTGGAGGCCATTGGAGTACAGTGAACTCATTGTCATGTTCAAGAAACCAGTTTGAGATGATTTGAGCTTTGTGACATGGTGCGTTATCCTGCTGGAAGTAGCCATCAGAAGATGGGTACACTGTGGTCATAAAGGGATGGACACGGTCAGCAACAATACTCAGGTAGGCTGTGGTGTTTAAACCATGCTCAGTTGGTACTAAGAAAATCTCCCCCACACCATTACACCACCAGCAGCAGCCTGAACCATTGATACAAGGCAGGATGGATCCATGCTTTCATGTTGTTTACACCAAATTCTGACCCTACCATCTGAATGTGGCAGCAGAAATCCAGACTCATCAGACCAGGCAACGTTTTTCCAATCTTCTATTGTCCAGTTTTGGTGAGCCTGTGTGAATTGTAGCCTCAGTTTCCTGTTGTTAGCTGACAGGAGTGGCACCTGGTGTGGTCTTCTGCTGTTGTAGCCCATCTGCTTCAAGGTTGGACATGTTGTTGGTTCAGAGATGGTCTTCTGCAGACCTTGGTTGGAACCAGTGGTTATTTGAGTTACTGTTGCCTTTCTATCATCTTGAACCAGTCTGGCCATTCTCCTCTGACCTCTGGCATCAACAAGGCATTTTGGCTCAATGGATATTTCCTCTTTTTGGGACCATCCTCTGTAAATCCTAGAGATGGTTGTATGTGAAAATCCCAGTAAATACTCAGATCAGCCTGTCTGGCACCAACAACCATGCCACATTCAAAGTCACTTAAATCACCTTTCTTCCACATTCTGATGCTCAGTTTGAACTACAGCAGGTCGTCTTGACCATGTCTACATGCCTAAATGTATTGAGCTGCTGCCACGTGATTAGTTGATTAGCTATTTGGATTAACGAGCAGTTGAAGAGGTGTACCTAATAAAGTGGCCTGTGAGTGTATAACTGCTCAGGTAAAGATAAGGAATTAATTTTCTGCAATTTCCTCTTCTTCTACTTCATCATTTGACAGTCTTACACATGTTTAAGAGGTTGGCATTAATTAAGGCAAGAGTAACGCAAGTGTGAGATTATTTTAAGGAATGCGCCTAAATGTGCAACTTAACTAACTAAACCATCTTTCTTTATAAACACTGACAAGTAAGAGTACTATATCCTCCATTTCATTGATAGTGTTAAATACAGCGTGAATTAATGTAAAACATCTGTGTATGGTGGTTGTCAGTAAATGTGTCAAAACAAAACCCAAAGACATCAAATCTGTGGACAGTGTGAGGAGAGAAAATCAGAACATCAGACCTGTCGTCATTTATTACTCAGAGAAATTCAGATTTATTGCAGAAATACATTATCATTCTTTACATTGTTTTTGTACAACAAACATCTGTGTGTGTGCTTGCAGGAATAATAAACTTGAAAATATATTTGAAATATCAAATGATCACATTCAGTTGGAAGGTAATTGTTTAAATAATACCTCACGGTCAATGCTTAAATGACTTTAGCCACAGAAAAAGGATAATTAAAATACATCAATATGCTGTCATTTTAAGGATCATTCTCGGTCCTTGTGTTGAATATACTCATAAACTGTCGCCCTGAATGAGACAAATTCACTGAAACTGTTTTCTGTGCCTCCTGCATGTGTTAATAAATAAATAAATATTAATAAATGAATAAATAATCCTGGCACAAATACAAATACACACATATTCATTTACTACATTCATGTGAATTGATTCATTTATCATGTAAAAGCAGATGCAAGTCAATCTCATCTGCAGTAATCTAATTTAACAGTATTTACTTTGTACAGTATCAGCTACAGTAGTCTATATTAAAACTACAGAGGTTTAGTCTATAGAAACTAGTTTATATTAAAGGAACAGTCCAACATTTTGGTAGCCAGATGAGAAAATGGATTTCATTTACATCTGTGTGGTGTTTAGCGTAGCTTAGCACAAAGACTGGAAACAAAGGGAAACTGCTAACCTCCAAAAAAACGTCTAAAATACATCTTATAGCAACTAGTGGTAGACTGCGGGGGCCAGCGACTGACCGACCATTTTACCAACCTTTCAATTAGCAGACAAACGCTTTACCTTCTGAGCCACTGCCGCCGATGTGGTTTGTTTCATCAGCCTCATTAGCCCTCTCTACTCAGAGATCACGCTATAGGGCCGCTACTGAGCCCCGTCTTCATGCCACCTTTGCATTTTTACATGGAATCAAAAGATGCGTAAACGGTGTGACATTTAACACAACAGCGTTGGCCTCTTGTGTGACATAACATATGCGTCAGCAGCGCTTTATAAACAATAACAATGCTGTAACGTGGCAATAACAATCAATTACCATCCTTGTTATATGGCCATTGATCTCGTCCTAAGTTTGAAGTATAAGTTGCTCCTAGACCTCATTGTTTTCCCAATTTGCAGACTTTTTCAGCTGCTGTTCTTATTCTTTGAGTTAGCTGCTAACAGCTACTTTTTAAATCTCCCGTGGTGGGTTGCACGCATTACACATCGTCAAAATGTCACACTCGTACCGCCCATTATCCCGTCCTGCCAGCTGTCCTTTTTATACAGACACTGTTTCGCCACTAGTGCTACCTCTATTCCCAACTCTGAACAGTGAGGCAGCATAACAGTGCCATATTCCAACTTGGAGAGGCAGTGTAAAAGGGGCTATAGATATGGGTTAGAGGTTGTTCTGCTACACCGATTAGTAGGTTCAGAATGCTGTTATCAGTTCATTAAATGGTTTTATTGTTGATGTATGCCACCATGAATGCCATCCATCTCCTTCCAAGCAGTGCTCAAACATCATTTCAAATTAATCTTCACCGTGTTTGAGTGAGCGAATAAGTGAGAGACATAAAAGAGAAGGAACCACCATAACATTTTCACCAGCCTCCATGCGGCTTTCTACTGTTTACTGACCAAAAAACACAGACAGACAGACTTGGCTAATGGAAAGCATTGTATTACCTTTTTTAAATGGGTTTTCCCACTTTATCAAACATGCATATACGCGCTAATCTTTGTGGAAAAAAGGTATGAGAGTGGGTCTCTTCTGTATGAGTCTATACATTGTTTTTTTCAGGAAACCTGCATACTGCAGTATATCTTTAATGTTCTGATAACAGCGTTCTGGACCTACCAGTCGATGCAGCAGGTCCCTTCTAACCCATATCTTTGATAACCACTTATCAGCCCATTTAATTAAGTGATACCACTCAAAATGGGTTAAATGTTGTACTGTCCCTTTAACTACATCATTCATATTTATGTTTGTTCTAATCAATAACCAACCACGTATCTGATACTTTGACTTCTAGTAAGTGTTAAACAGCAAATCTACCAAAAACGTGCAGAAACATTATTAAGGACATTTCAATGTGCCGATTTCTCAATAGGTTGAGATCCATTCAGTTTAATTTAGCTGCAAACTGAAGCAGGTATTTATAACCTGGAGCCTCCGTGGCTTTCCACGTGTCAGTAAGTTTGTGAGCTAGCTAACTTGAGTTTGTGTAATGTTAAATTAAATCACATCAGCCAAACTGACAGATGGAAAACCTTCTTCCAGTCGAGCTCAGGTCTCAGGTCAAAGGCAAAATATGATTTGAGCTTATTTTTATTGTGTATTTCTTTGTTTAACAATTATACATTAAACGGTAATTTGGTATTTTTCAACCTGGACCCTGTATTTCCATGTTTGTGTGTCATACTGACTAATGGGAACAACAGTATTTGAAATTGGTCCACTACTGAGAGAGAGCGCTGCAGCTGACAGCAGCAAAACAGGCTGTAATGTAACCACTCGGGACATGTTCACATCGTCAATATACATCCACTAAAAGTGCTTGTTTTTGCCACTGACAGGCTCAGATTGTTATTCTAAGTGTCTGACGACATTATGGAAAGGATCCCTGCAGGAATAGACCTTTTTTAAAGAGTAAGATCCTTTGTGTTTAACTAGAAACAGGCCCAAAATCACCATCACCAAACCCACCAGACTCCATTCAAATAAACGGTAATTTCATCAACCCAAAACGCACTTTATTTGAAGTCAAAATAAACAAAACATAACTCGCAAAATACTTCTTAGTTCATCTTTTCACTGTTCCAGCAATCACCAACTCTGGTTTGGTTAAAATAAACCCTTAATTCACCCAGTTAGATGTGAAAATATGCTGGTTCTCTGCACGCTTAAATTACTCATAATTTGAATGGAGTCTGGTGGGTATAGTGATGGTGATTTTGGGACTGTTTCTGGTTAAAAAAAGGATCTTACTTATTACCAAAAGGTCTTTCTCTGTAGGAATCCTTTCCATAATGTTGTCAGACAATTCTGTAAAAACAATCTGAGCCTGTCAGTGGCAAAAACAAACACTTTAAGTGGACGTACATTGACAGTGTGAACGTGCACTGAGTGGTTACATTGCAGCCTGCTTCACTGCTGCCGGCTGCAATGGTCTCTGTCAATACTGGGCACATTTCAAAAACTGTTGTTTCCATCAGTCACTTAGACACAAAACCACAGAAAATAGAGTCCAGGTTGAAAAATGGCAGCGTTACCGATTAAGCTTTTCCTAACCTGAGTCTAATAAAGCTTCAGATAAAGTGCAAACAATTTACAATAACTTTGCTTTAAGTTCATGCACACAGTGAACAACACTGATGATGCTGTCAGCCCAAAACACACAACACCACCCATCATACTGTACACGCTTTAGACACACACTACTGTTGAAAAGTTATGCAGCAGCTGAACACTTGGAACCTGTTCCTGTTTAAATCTGCACACATTTTGATGCTAAGCTTCCAGTTTCTTTTACAAATGACTGCTGATTTCTTCTGTTCTTATTCAACTGTTGCTCAGAGGGATCTTTGTCTCTTTCAGTTGAGCCATTTGACAGTGGTTTGTTCTCTGTGTACAAATCAAACCTTCATACTAAATACCATCTACTTGTAAAGAGGACTTTCTACAACGTAAAAACATCAGAGACCATTCACACATATAGAGGAGTCCTCTCACACGTCTGGCAGGACCACATCAGGCTCTGTGGTTGCACATGACAAACTTTTCAACAGCAGTGTGCATTAAACTTAGTTTATACTTATCATGAAATTGTACTCTGGACGCGGGAGCATCCAGATAGTGCTCTATCAGCAGTCTGCTGTCCATTTTACACAAAAGTGCAGGCAGTATCAGACTGATGTGTGTTTAAATAGAAATGTGCAGTGATGTGTAGTCAGGAGCAGGTTTGTGCAGGAAATGAAGGTAAAAGTCTTAAAGGGAAACTCACACGTTAGTCTAAAAATGTCGTATTTACTGACTGAGCCTCTCTGTAGCGACTGATACTTCAAAGCGTGTAAGATTTAGGGGAATTTCCTGGAATGTAGCGGTGAGGATTACAGACTGCAACCAGCTGAAATGTCTCCTGGTTAGAATTCCCTCAGCGTTCATTGTTCAGGAGGTTTTTACCAGGAGCCGAATTGGTCTCCTCCTCTACAAAGCAAACAGACCTTGTGATTTCAACCAGTTAAAACACAGACTAAAGCAGTTTCATGTTAAAAAATCTGTGTTTCTCTAAAGCTATCTGACATATTGAAGAAGAGCGGTTCACCCAACAGATGCTAATCTATGCTCACCTTTTTTCCTCTGATAATTTAAGATCCAGATGTTCAGGAGGTTTTTACCGGGAGCCGAAGTATCTGCAGAGGTCTCTTCCTCTCCAAAACAAACAGACCAGTTCATTTAAACCAATAAAAACACTGAATAAAGCAGTTTCTCTTTACAAATTGGTATTTTTCCAATGCTGTTTGGCACATCAGAAACAGGTGTTTCATCCAGCACGTGCTAATCTGTGTTCTCCTTTTTTCTCTGATATCTTAGGATCCAGACATTCAGGAGGTTTTTACCAGGAGCCTAATTATCTGCAGAGGTCTCTTACTCTACACAACAAACAGACCAGGGTTCTTATTTATAAAAGAGTGCGTAGCATCCATACTAAAAATGTACATATGGACAAAAGCCGAAATGGCGTGCGCCAAAATATATTCAACAGTTTCTACAATCATGTCCCTGTGCATGTCCCTATCTAGAGCCAGTGTGTGGTCTGTCCGTTCTGGGCTACTGTAGAAACATGGCGGTGCAACATGGCGATCTCCACAGATGAGGACCTGCTCCCTATGTAGATATAAATGGCTCCTTCTAAGGTAACGAAAACACGATTATTCTTATTTTCAAGTGATTATACACGAAAGAAAACATACTTATTATACTATATTCCATCCTGCCAACATATCCCCCTAAATCCTACACACTGGACCTTTAAAGCGTGACATGAGGTCAGAAACTAAAGTGCTCTACAGTAGAAACTATGGCCTTCCTTCCCAGTTACACAGACGAGTCGTCTGCTGAGCCGCTTGTGAAAAAAGTGCAAATAAGAAGCTGAAAAGTTGCATATCATCTAAAAAACACGCTCCTGCTGCCGAACACAAATCAAATCAACATGTACGATCTGATTTGTTCAGTGTGGAGTCACGTGGATGTGTTTTTGATATGTTGTCATGGTAACGGCAGAGGCACCAGCACGTTCACGTAGCTGACGGGGAATAGTCCCGACCGGCTGCCTAGCGCACCCTTGTACCAGTTGGAGTCGACCTGATTGGTGAGGACGATGATGTCGCCCTCGTTGAAGCTCAGCTCACCCTCGTGGCTCGGGTGGAAGGAGTACATCGCCCGGCAGCAGGGCTGATCCAGGACCAGCTTACTGTCAGCTGGGAGAGACAAAGAATAAATGTCATAAATCTCAGCTGTGTGTGACTTATCGAAGTTTGTTTCCGGCTGTCAGCATTTTCTCACCGTAGCAGGAGATGGGACTGCCGGGTCTGGACGGTAACACTGTGAACTGATCTCCTGTCACACACACACAAAAAAAATAGAAAAATACAAGTTCAAAATCTTTTACAGAATGAGACATTTTATTCTAGATAAATGTGTGTTTTTTAAACAGGAGTAACCTGAGGGGACTGTGGCTGTGACAGACGGCTGCTGATAAAATCCCATGATGCTGCCGTTGTGCTCACTTCTGACTCTGAACTTTTTGGCTCTGAACCGTCGCTCTGGTTTGTTACTGGCAGCTGTCAGCCTGTTTAAGAATAAACACAGAACATTTAAAGCTTTATGCAGTGATGTAAAAACCAGATGGATGGTTGTTGGTTACTGGTTACAACCAAGGTCTGCAGAAGATCATCTCTGAACCAACAACACGTCCAATCTTGAAGCAGATGGGCTACAGCAGCAGAAGACCACACCAGGTGCCACTCCTGTCAGCTAACAACAGGAAACTGAGGCTACAATTCACACGGGTTTTCTCACCAAAACTGGACAGTAGAAGATTGGAAAAACCACATTCAGATGGAAGCATGGATCCATCCTGCCTTGTATCAACGGTTCAGGCTGCTGCTGGTGGTGTAATGGTGTGGGGGAGATTTTCTTAGTACCAACTGAGCATGGTTTAAACACCACAGCCTACCTGAGTATTGTTGCTGACCGTGTCCATCCCTTTATGACCACAGTGTACCCATCTTCTGATGGCTACTACCAGCAGGATAACACACCATGTCACAAAGCTCACATCATCTCAAACATGACAATGAGTTCACTGTACTCCAATGGCCTCCACAGTCACCAGATCTCAGTCCAATAGAGCACCTTTGGGATGTGCTGGAACGGGAGATTCTCATCATGGATGTGCAGCCGACAAATCTGCAGCAACTGTGTGATGTCATCATGTCAATATGGACCAAAATCTCTGAGGAATGTTTCCAGCACCTTGTTGAATTTATGCCACCAAGAATTAAGGCAGTTCCGAAGGCACGGTGTACCTAATAAAGTGGCCAGTAGGTGTATATTTTCATATTGTCACCATGTAGCTGTGTAGACCTCAGGAAGAATAGCTGCTGCAGTGCAAAAGCTAATAAGGATCTTAATAAACAAACAACATAGGCTCACCTAGCCTGCAGGTTGCCATGGAGACCCAGCAGGATGCGGTGGGCGTTGCGGTGAAAGTCCAGCAGAGCAGTGACCAGAGCTGCCAGACGACCGAGCTGATCGACCTAAAAGAGGAAGCATCACCATTTAAGTAACTTATTCAAACACTTCCTTCACCAGTTTATTATCGTCAGACTCACGTCGCTCTGCAGCAGCATGAACATGCTCCTCTCTGCCAGCTCTTTGGACGTGATGAACTTGTCCCAGGCCTGTTGGATCTCCTCCGTCGGGACTTTCCCTCTTCGTCTCCTCTTGTAGTCAAAATCCAGCCGTCGACCATTCAGCTTCTTCAGCTGGAACTGAGGAGCCAATCAGAACAGAGATCAGAGACACAGTTACTGAATACTTGGACAGAAATTTTCATTCAGATTCTGAACAGTTTTTTTTTTAAGTATATTTAACATATGATGATTAAAATTGTGTTAAAGTAGGGACAAAAATGTGAACTTGCATAACCACAAAAATTCCAATATCTCATTGAATTTCAAAGTAGTTTTGAAACACACTAGATGGTGAAACCTTCAATCTCAGAAAAGAAAAGGAACTTCAGGTTTTTTGTGTGTGTGTTCTGCAGAGTCCTGATAAACATGAACCTCCTCTCACCTTGATCTCCTTCAGCTCTGAGTTGTGGAGCTCCTGCAGAGGATCGATGAAGGTGCGTTTGACGTTGACATCCAGAGTGTCCCTGGCCTGAGCAACCTGCTGCAGAGCTTCACCCACCCCAGTCAGAGCACCGCCTGAACAGGATGAGGACCGACCAGAGGATTAAAACAGAGGACGAGAGCAGGATGAATAAACAAAGATAAAACAAGAGAAGCAGAAACAGAATCAAAAACAAACACAAACATTTCCCTGTTTTGTTTAAGTTGCACATCTCTGCAGATTGCTGAGGACTGAATTTTTCCACAAAGGCCAACAGATTTGTGCTGATTAGTCACAGTCTAAAATAAATGCAGTCCAGTAACAATATCCACTGAAATGCTGTGAACAAACAGTATTTATATTTGCACAATCAGGCCTCGAATAAAACCTTTAAATCTAGTTTTAAAAAACTAAAAACAAAGGCCAATTTATCATCTATAAGAACATCTTTAAATTACAGAGCTCCTCCAAAATAAAAGCAGAGATAAATACAAGATAAAACTATATTTTGTAATAAAACAGTTTAAAAAAGCAACCAAAACAACAACATTAAAGCAGATTAAAGTATAAAACAAGTTCAAATCTGAGTGTAAGACAGTTTTATAAATGCCTTTATCTGGCATTTTAATTGATTTAAATCCTTCAAAGATTTTGGTCTCAGAAAGAAGCCTGCGTTGCACATATTAACTGTGTACTTCCTAACTTTCTCACAGGACTGATTATGTATTGTAAGACTTTTAAGAAAAGAATGTGTGACAGAAGCAATTTAAAGCAAACTTTAAAAAACATTTACAGATTTCCAGGATGATATCAGGCCTCATTCTCAATGTGTGCTTCACCTTTAATATCACATCTTCTGACTGTTGCCATAGAAACAGTGTTAGAGCCAATATTGTACCAAATTCAGAAGCAGGTCCGAGCTCCTGGCCGTAGTGTGACATGCAGTCTCCCAACACACCCTCTGTCTGCGGGTAACCCACTGTCCTGCCCTGACCTCGAATCCTGGACATGGTGTTGAGCATGCTCAGTTTGGCTCTGTCAGCTGTGGAAACACGAAGACAGACACTTCATGAAGGAACACAACATGGTCATACTGCAATATCTTAACTGATTTTGTTTTTAAATGTCATTTTAAGCACTCTGAAGTGCCTTTCTCTGAAATGTGTTGAACACATAAACTCGTCTTCTATCTTTAAAGAACACTGGACAGTAAGAATTTATTATATAATTTACTTGGATATAAAAACTTGTTTCTATTCTTTTTTTCTGACTGTGATGTTTGAACTTCACTCTGCAGAGCTTGTTTCACTTTATTCTCTGGGCTCACTTAACATCTCCCTTTAATGTACCTGCAGGGATTTATGACATCACAACTAATCTAACATCTACTGACAATTTAGAGTCACCAATTAACCTGCATGTCTTTGGACTGTGGGAGGAAGCTGGAGTACCTGGACATGGAGAGAACTCTGCACAGAAGGGCTCCCCCACCCTGGATTTAAACTGGGAACCCTCTTGCTTTGAGGCGACAATGCTAACCACTGAACCACTGTGCCACCCTGCGTACACCTGCAGTGTTTTTTACCTGGGTTTGGTTGAAGGAACTCTATAGTTTTGGACAGCAGCTCCACCAGCAGACACTGGATGACTTCAACACTCTGACAGAGAGAAACAGGTGAAGCAGTCAGTCAGTTCTGATCAGATGGAGGATGGATGTCTCTATGAGCACAGTGATGATGAGCTGTATTCACAGTTTTACCTTCTCCATCTTCAGGAAGTCTTCATCCATCTTTGTTCCCTCAGCTCCCATCAGACGCTCGTTCAGCAGCTGCAGGACGAGACCAGGAAGTCATGTTAGCAGTAGATATCAGAGATAATTGCAGTCATAGTCAGGGGCGTAGCAACAGATTCTGGACCCTGTGCATGAACAGCCTCTGTTGGGCCACCCGCCCCTCCTCTCTTCACCCATGTGTCTCTCACATACCTTTTGATTTTTTTTTTTTTTTTTTTTACAAAGACTATTTGCTTTCTTTCCCTTTCCTTTCTCTCATTCTTCCTCTCTTGTATTTTGTTTCCCCTCCTTCCTTCGGCAGCACAAGCATAATGTGTGTACGTGGGTTTTTAAAACGCAGGTCGACGTCACAGACAGGCCGAAGAACAGGTAAACAGTAGACACCACTATGAGACAGCAACACGGAGGAAAGAAAACACAATGGTTGTTACATCTTTTTATCTCTTACTTCCTCAATCTGTCTTTCAAACTCAGTGCAGACTAATTTGGATCGATATTCGAGAGCTGCTTGGGCGGACACGACAGTGTTTTGTGACGGTGCGTCATTGCATCTCGCTAATGAAGGGACTAAACTTAACACGTTTACCTGGATGTTATGTTTCCATCAATGCCGACTGGAGCTGGAGGCAAAGATATAGATACAGCCGGAGATAAAGATATCAGAAATGTGTTGCATCTAGTTAATACACATGGGAAGAAAACTCCATTTTGATATAGGATTAAATGTTCACATGGTTATATATATATATATAATATATAATATATATATAATAATATATATATGTTATATATTTACAGATGAGACCTTAACTTTTCATTTGCTGCTGGTTAGAATATTCTAACATGAATTATGCCAGAGACATATGCCAGAGAGTGAAAAGTGTGCCAACCAACCCTAGTCTGCCCTATTTTCCTGATCACACTTAAGCTACACAGATATCATGTTAACTTTACAGTGTGGTACTGGTACTTTTATAGTAAAAGGTCTTAATATTTCCACCACCACTGGCTTTAAGTTGTAGATTTGGCTGAACAGCAACAGTATTGTTGTCTTGTTGTAACAGTATCAGTGGTAGTGTATAGCAGCAGTAGTGATATCAGTATGCTAGTTGTCCTTACAGTAGCAGCTGATGGTAATACTGGCAGTGTTACTGGTAATAGTCTGCAGTACCCAGTACTAGCAGCAGCAGTAGCAGCAGTAGTAGTAGGCTATCTAACAAGGTAAACAACAACAGCACCAGGTTGAAGACAGCAGGTGTCCAGGTCTGCACACAAATTAAAATGTCTTGTCATGTCATTTATCATAAAAGCAATGATGGATCCTGCACTGATGGATTAATGGAGATGTGATGGATCGATACTTAACTAATAGTGATGTGATGGATCGATACTAATGTGTACCAGCAGGCCCTGTGTCGCAGTAAAACCACAAAGGACAGATTGAACCCAGATATTAATCCCATCCTCCGCAACACTTCATAAATCAACAGTCCCGTTTATCCCGGCTCGGTCCGGGTTGTCCCGGTTACCTGGCTGGCTTTGTGGAGCTGCTTCTTCATCCCGGACACCGACATCTTCACCGGCGGACCGGACACAAACACCGGCCGGCCGGAGATCAGCGCAGAGGCCGCCGTTTACCGACAGGATCCATCCCGTCTGAGATGCTCCGTCCCCGCGCAGAGACTCACTGCACCGAGCCGCTCCGCCCCTCCGGCTGCTGGAAACACCGGGACCGCTTTTATTTTTATTTCCTATTTTTAATCTAAAAAATCAAATAAGGTTTATAGTTATTACTTTCATTATTATGGGTTTATTTTTAGGCTATAATCCATATATATAACGATTTATTTTTTAAACATATTTATATGACCTAAGTATTATTATTATTATTATTATTATTATTATTATTATTATTATGTCCTTAGGTATTTTTATATAATTATTGTTTTTTGTTAGTATGCTATATTTTTTTTGTTATGTTATCTAAAATTAATAAACATATTCACTTTTATTCTGAAATGGTTGATTATCATTATTATTATTATTATTACTATTACTTAATATTTACAGGGGTTCCTTAGAAAACCTTTTTAATTATAAATATTGTTAGAAATATCATTGAAATACAGAAATATTAAATAGAAATATTTTTTTATTATATTTATTATCTTATTATAAATTGGTTTGTGACATGTATCAGCCTCTGGAATATATTATTTCAGTATTTTTTATTATTTTTTTATATAGGCCTGTAGATGTATATCCTGTATGCTACAGCTTTTTTTTCCCCCTTCACACTATTTTACTGCCATTTTGTCTTTATATTTTATACACATATATTTTTACTTATCATGTTTTAATATTAATAACGTAGCCGATATCAAATTAAATAAAATTAATCTGGAATTTTTTTTTTCCCCCCCTAATCGTATTATGTCACTCTTCCCTGCTACACTGACGTTTAATCTGGTTTAATATTTCTTACATGAGGTTTCTTGGTCGTACTTCATTTCCCATGATCAGTAGCGTCATCTATCTGTCACGTGACTGTCACTGAACGTCACATGCCAACATGGCTGCCGCAGTCTCCAGCGAACATTTCGACAACTTGCACCTTCTTCTGAAGGTATTCGTCCTTATTTTTGACACTTTTTAAACTCTCAGCGTTAAAATTAAAACTGTCGCTATTGTTTCATGTTTTAGTTGTTCGATTAATAATGTTTAATATTAATAAAACGTTTAAATTAGCCTGTTAGCTTCAGTGTTTCTGATTCAGTTCAGAACCGCTGCATTAAAAGCAGGATGTAAAACACTTGACACTTTACTTTTAACCGTCAAACAGAGTTTATTCTTTATGTTTTTAGATTGTTTTGTTACATATAAAATGTTGTTTATTATAATAATTTAACTGTCAGATCATGTTATTCTTGTTTTTGGATTTATTATGTCTTCTTGGATTATTGTGGGGTTGCAAATATTAGCTGCTGTGTTTTCTAGAGCTCAAACAATACTTAAGTTTTAGCAGTGATGAAGGAAGCACTCAGATCCTTAGTAAAAGTAGCCTATTAATACCGCACTGTAAAAATAGTCCACTACAAGTAAAAGTCATGCAACCAAAACTTTACTTAAGTAAAGTCAGTATGTTGCAGTAAAATGTGTTTTCCTCTCCTATCTGATGTTTTTGAATTTTGAATATTATTGCTGCATTAATGTGTGTGTCAATTTACTGCTGTATATGTTTGAGGTTGTGCTCTGACTCCCCTGTTGGGTAATTTAATCTACAGCAATGCATCATATTCTATAAGATCATAATGTTTGTAGCGTAGCTGACCAACAGTCCAGTAATCATTTTCATTATTCAACAAAAATCAAACTGAAAAAAAGCAGAAAAACTTCACAACTGAGGAGATGCTGGAGAGTTGGTTGGTCCAGCGGTCACAAGACCACAACGTCTCCAGCTGGGCTCATGTTGTTGTTGTTGTTGATTCTGAGTTGTTGTTGTTGTCTCCTGAGGCGCCGTCTAAAGATGCAGTGAGGGACGTTTGTGTTCAGAGTCACAGAGGTCCGAGTCGTCGGCTGGCAGAGACCACAGCAGCCACACTGAGCATCCCTGCGGCCCAGGCTGCTCAGGTAACATGCACGCACCCTCACCTGAAGGTTCACTCAGATCTGTGTTCAAACCTGTTGAGCCCAAAAAAAAAAGTCCCTATGTGAAGAGCTGTTTTTGGACAACACAATAAACATATCAAACCTCTGTGTGTGTTTGTGTGTGTCTGTGTGTCCTCCAGCTGGTCCAGTCCCTCCACGTTCTGTCTCACCACGTCCTCTTTTACAACCTCAGCTCTCCGGAGCAGATCCTCGAGCTCTTCCCCGACTCGTTCCACTCCAGTCTGAAGAACCTGATCACCAAGATCCTGCTGGAGAACAGGTCAGCAGCACAAACAGGATGAGTTGATGAGCCACACGTTAATACTAAAGAGCCTCCGTACATATACCACTAATTCTTCACTTAATAAATGACCCAATTATCTTTTGTAGATTGGATTATCCAGTAATGCTTTTTTTTAAGGTTCATAATTTGTAATTATTTCCGAAAATGTAATTTGGCACAAATTTAAGGAAGGAAAATATCTCACTTGGTTCTTCATTAGAAACCTTTCTTTATATATTTGTTGAATTTTCTGTTTCTTTTTTGACAAATTCCTCATTTTCAATCAAAAAAATAAAATTAACATTTTCTTAAATTAAAAACTAATTTTATAGACCTTTCTAGGAAGTTACACAGAAATGACAGACATGTAAAATAAAGTGTTATTGATTATCCCTCTTCCTATTGGCTGGTTGAATATGATATAACTACAGGCTGTAATGACGTCACACGTCTCTCTCTGATGTTTTTCAGTCCAACATGGAGAACAGAAGCTCTCAGTAATCAGAGTGAGTCGACTTTACATTCATGTTTCATCTACTTTATGTAACCTGTGTGTGTGTTTTAGGCTCTAACCTGTGTGTGTGTGTGCGTGTGTAGTCTCTCTCCCCCAGCTGAAGGAGTTGGACTGGAGAGTCGACATGGTGACCAGCTCAGACTCACTTATTCGGATGTCCGTCCCGACCTGCCTCGTTCAGCTCAAGGTGGGTACCAACATGAAACACAACATCCAGGCACTGACGTCATGTGACTATGTGATGCTCTCTGGGCTGCGTGTTTGTATGAAAGGTGCTCCATGAACCAAGTTGTGTGTCTGACCTGTTTGTTCTCAGATGGAGGACTCGTGTCCATCAGCAGTTGGGGAGTCGGTTTCCACAGTGACGGTGGAGCTGAGCCGGGAGTCTCTGGACACCATACTGGATGGACTGGGACGCATCAGAGACCAGCTGTCTGTGGTCGCCGGGAAATAAGGACTCTTAGTTGATTGGCTCGTTCATATGGTGACAGCACAGCTCAGAGTCAAAGGACAGTTTTCACAGACTGAAGCTGCCTGTCGCTTTTATTTTGTACCAACGTCAAAGATCGTTATGATTTCATTCCTCATAACTTTGATTATTTCATGTTTTCTGCTCAAAGTTACTCTGATCTGAACGAATTAACGAGTTCCTTATTCAGTCTGTGTTTACAGAAATAACTGATTTACTGTCTCATTCAGTTTGTAAAAATACAAACTATTTGTTAGTTAAAACTGTAAAATAAATATTACTTTGTAATTCTATGTCATTTTATTTACTTTTTAAGTTTTTTTCTCCAGACCAATAAAGAATTGAAATCTTTTCACATGTGGACATTTTGTACATTGTATAATTAAAATAAATAATTAATGGTCCAAGCATGAATATTAAGATAACTGCTGTGTCATTAATATTGCCCGGAAACTGCAGATATTTGTTGAAGATTATTCTTTTTTTTAATATCCACTAATATTGAGAGAAAAAAAAAACCTTCTTTGTAACACTTACAATGTATTTTTTTTCATTATAAATACTGTATATATTTGATTTGTTTTATAATATTAACTAACTTCTGGCAAAACCATAAGACTTTGAGCCTCGTCTAACAGTCATAATTTTATCAAAGTGAGAAAAGACGCAACAGGTCAAACAACTCTCTCTGATATTTAAGTGTATTGTATGTAAGATAAAAATTATGTGAAGTGATTTAGACTGTGTTGATTGCACAGTTGTAAATGATGTTAAAGTGGAGTCTATTTACTATATAAAGACAATTTCAACATGTTCGATTATTTAGAATAGTGATATTTATTTATTTATTTTTTTCTTGATTGCCCCAGGGATGAGTCCTAAAACCTGGAGATGAGTTAACATTTTGGTACTCAGATCCCTCGTCTTGAAGTCAGTGGGTTTTTGGTTAGGTGTCTGAAATAAGGTCTGTAATCAGCACAAGCTGAGGAGACTTTAACATTTTGTTCTATGACATAAAATACCTCAGTAAATACCCCACTCATGAATTTAAAGCTTTTATGTGTCCTAAATGAGGCGACAAAGCTTATTTCCTGCAATAATCCAAAATCCAATGGAAAAATCCCATTGGTTTTTGACAAGGGAGCCAGGGCGACGCTAACTTCCGGATTGGCCAAAGAAAAAGCGTCATCCCTGGAGCACTCTATAAACAATACAATTAATTAATAATACTAACAATTTAAAAAAACAATACAGATAGTCAGAAAAAGGCCTGAAGTAAAGAAATGTATCTTAATTGATGCTAATCGGTTATAAACTATACTAACATTAGCTGTTAACTCACTAGCTAGTGAATAGAAAACATTCAAAAAGACATGACAGTGATGTAACAAAACTTTTTAACACAGAATATACATACATA